CATCTTCTCAAAAAGCTCCTGGAGTACCTGTTTATTGTTTCCCTGAGAATACAAGTAATTTGAAAAGGGAGTATCAACATAAAGTTGAGTGAGTGCATAAGTGTTTATGTTTAAAAAGGTGCATAAGTAATTTGAAAAGGGAGTATCAACATAAGTGTTTATGTTTAAAAAGGTGTCTCTGTATCTTGCATATGTAAACTGTTCCAGAAAATCCTATATTTCCTGTTGTATATGAAAAGTAGTTTTATTCCCATAAAATCGTTCTATTTGTAAACCAATGTTCTGTATTTGTAAAACTTGTAACTGAGAGTGTGCCTGGCTTCACCAGCTATTATTGAAAACTGTATTGAACCATTGTAATTTGTATTATGTAATCTGGTACTTTGATGGTGTACTTACGTTTAATTGATTATACACTAACGTATTGTTAATATCTTTTTAATGAGTTATTATAACCATACTATGACTGGATGGCCTGAAACAAACGCTTTGTAGGCGTTTAAACTGTTGATAACAATTGTCATTCATTGGCGTGTATGCCTGACTATAGCTAGCAGCCTGAGTGTGGGGTTGTCAATCCCAACATAGATCTACACACAACTTGTTTCAATCCCCTGGCTGGAGATTCTGGTTATAATGTCAGGACTTTACCTTGGTTGTCTAAATGAATTAAACAACCTGAATGACTCATAAACGTTACATGTATATTAGTCATGGAAACCCAATCATTCTGAAATAAATGATTGACACTATGTTCTTGAATTAGTATTCCGAACATGTATTTGACAATTGTAAACCCTTGATTTGTTTTGAATCAAAACCCTTCTTTCTTGTAAAACAGTGTATTCTAGTATACTTGAATCATGAGTTATTGTTCTATGTATCATAAATTATACCTATTATAATTTATATGTACTTTCTGAATCGGTATTTAACTATTTTTGCATGTAACCCCTTGCTCAACATGTTACAAAGGTATTTAAACTGTTGAAATAACGTTTATATTTATATACATATACAATTTTATATATAAGTAAAATTTAAATGACACTCGGACAAATAACCGGTACTATAAGCCCACATCCAAACAAGGAAAAGGACCCAGAAGGAGTTATCAGTCCTAAGCCTTTTAAATCTTATATATATATATATATATATATATATATATAATATATATATATATATTATATATATATATATATATATATATATATATATATATATATATATATATGAATTTTGGGGAAAATATAAGTTTATAAAAGAGTTTAATGTTTTGAGTATTTTTGATGATTTAATGTAGTTTTATCATGATTTGAAATCATGATTTTATAACACAAAGTTCTTGTGTTATGCTTGTATTCCCCCTTAAAACAATATAAATTATGAAAATACGGGGGTATGAACTTACTTGATAGGTGGTGATTTGGACAGCGTTTCGTTTCCCAGAAAGGAGTTTATTTGACGAAAAACCGGCTCAAATCGGGCACAGTTTCGATTTGAGAGAGGTTAACTTCTCAGGAATCTCGGGGTTTCAAGGCTTGCTTAGGGTTTTAGACTTGATACCGGGGCTTTAGGGGTTGTATATAAGTTTGTGGAAGTGAAAAATATGAAAGTGTGTGAAATTTAGGGTGAAAAGTGTAATATTCTCGGAAGCCCTTGCATGCCTTATATAGGCCGAAGCCTCGGATCCGAAGCAAAGGGAGGCTGCCGCGTGTCGGACAGGTGGCGAAGGAAGAAGGCTCGCTTCGGACAGCTGGAGAGGCGTGTCAGATGGCCATTGAACCGGACTTCGGTCGAATCAGAAGAAGGCACGGTGCGAGGGGGGTGTCCGAGGGGTGTCTCATGCGAGGGTGTCGGCTGCTTACTGGACCTCGGCTGCGGTCCAATCAGAATGCGACACGGTGAACTGCGGTCCAATCAGAAGGTGACACGTGGATGACTTGCATGCGAGGTGACGTGGCCGAAGGTCAGCCTTGCGAAATTGCCCGGTTTTCAATATTTCTTGATTTTTGTGCCAAAAACTTGTGAAAATCGTAACTTTCGCATACGAGCTCCGTTTTTGACGTTCTTTATATGCACACGTAGGTACAATTATACTCTACGACTTTCGTTTAGACTTCGTCGGCTAATTTTGATACTATTTTTAATATTATTATTTTTAACAGACCGGGACAGGAAATCCGTTAAAAATTCATAACTTCTTCATCTGACGTCTGTTTTTGTCTGTCTTTTTACCGTTGTACTACTATTGACGAGACCTTCAATTCTCATTTAGGTTGTGTCGGCTAAAAATCACTCGATCATTATTTCGTGTTTTTAGCTGTACACTGCTATACTGAAACTTAGAAAAATCATAACTTCCTCATACGAAGTCAGATTTTGTCGTTCTTTTTATGAAAGTTCTCGGTTTAACATAAACTACAACTTTCATTTAGATTGTTAAGGCTAAAAGCCTTTTATGAAAATTCAGTTTTTACACTGAACAGTGTTTTGCCGGTTTTGTCGCGGATCTTCGATTGGTCATAACTTCTTCGTTATAACTCGGATTTTAGTGTTCTTTATGTTTTTGGAAACCTTGTTACAATCTCTACCACTTGGTTCATCCCAATCGAGATTGTTTAATAATTTATTTTTGAGGGTCAATTATGTAAATATACACAGTATGCTAAAATTTCTCTTTATTATTTTAAAAAGAACTACAAATTGACCTACATTATTATATAGGTTTGAAATAACGATTTGTTACATATACCTCAATGTTTCTTCTGATCTGTTTGGTGAAGATGGATTCGACGAGACATTGGTAGGTTGCACCTGTGTTCTTCAGGCAAGACGACATTTTGGTGTAGCAGAAGGCACCATGGTCTGTATAAAAGGTTGTCTTGTCTTCGTCTTCCATGTTCATCAAAATTTGGCGGTACCCTTTGTATACATTCTGAAAACATTTCAGTCTGAATCCTTGTAGGGATTCTACCTTTTGATCGATTTGAGGTAGGGGTAATAGTCTTTGGGGCAAGTTTTGTTTAATTCATAATAGCCAATGCACATACGCCATGTGTCGTCATGTTTTCTGACCATGAAGGGGTTTGCAACCCTGGTCGGGAAGATCCACTCTCCGAGTATTCCTGCTTTGGTTAGCTTGACAACCTTGACACTGATTGCACTTTTCCTGTCTCCTCCCTGAAGTCGCTTCTTCTACTTGACCTCCTTGGCGCCCAGTTTAATCATGAGTTTTTGTTCTATGACTTCTCTATCTACTCCCACCATATCAGTGGGGGCCAGGCGAACGCATGCTTGTATTTCTCTAAGAAGGTTAATCAGCGCTTTCTTTGTTGCCGGTGGAAGGCTACTCCCTATGCTGACCTATTGATCCGAGTGTTCTCTGTTGATATCTTATTTCCGCTTATTGGCTCCACTCATGACCTTTTATTTTCCTGTGTGACATTTTTCGGCTGCATGATCTCGTAGCGTCGCAGTTCTTTTGGCGGCGTTGCCAGGATCTTCCCCAGTCCTTCCGTTGTGTTGAATTTTACTATTCCATGCATTGTTGATGGGATTGCTCCAAATTTGAATAGGTTCGTTCGACCTAGATGAGACGGAAACAATGTTCGTAGATAATATCTTCTGAACTCCTGGTGTCGATGTATACCCGATGGATAGTGATGTCTTTGATGGGTCCCTAGATTATGAGCGGGTCATCACCTCTCCAGCCTGTAGGCCGAGGGTCTTTTGCTGAGAACATTAAGCCATGCATGGATTTTGCGAGGTTTTCTACCCCATTGCATTCTTCCTGCCTCCCTCTTTTGGATCTGATCATCAGGATCGCGTGGGGTTGGTCACGCTCTTTGTCCGCGTCCTTAGCATTTTCGGCATCAAACTTGGCACGGAGGCTCCACCCTACTTCTATCAGGTTCCCTTTTAGTTGTTTCTCCTCCATTTCCCTTTTAGTCGTTTCTCCTCCATTTCCCTTTTACTTTTGTGGTATTTGCAGTATTGTCCTTTTGCTCCTTTCACTGGTTGTCTGTCAGAGACTGCGTAGACGTCTAACCGTCTGCCTCTCCTATCATCTCTTTGAAATGGCCTAAAACGTCCTTGTGGGCGTTTCCCACGCCCAAAGTTCCTGCTACCGCCCGGAGTCTCCGGGTTCTGCGACGGTGGACTGTGATGCTTTGTGGCTGAGGCGGTCATGGCGTTCAAGTACGCTTGTTTGATTGGATCCCCTTCTTCTTGCCTTAGGTAGCGCTCCACCTTTTCTTTTAGTTCAGCTCGTGTCTAGGGTTTCTTCCCCATGAGCTTCTGGGAAAGTGGTCCCGAGAGAAGGCCCCATATGAAGGCACCTGCTATTAATACGTTATCGTGCCCTGGAACGTCTAATGTAGCATTAGTAAACCTGGTGAAGTATTCTCGTACCGTCTCCCCTTCCTTCTGCTTGCAACCAATGATCGAGTGTGAATCTCCTTTGTACTTGCACAGTTGCATGAAATTTGTCAGGAAAAGATACTTTAACTGGCCAAAAATGTAAATGCTCCTAGGGAGTAACGTTTTGAACCACGTTCCTGTGTTGCCATATAAGGTTGTCGGGAAATATGTACACCAAAATCGCTCGTCCAATTTTAACAAGGTCATTGTCCATTCGTAGGTGTCGATGTGACTATCTGGATATGTGGTTCCATTGTAGGTTTTATGGTGTGGCAACTTTGTTGTAGTTGGGATCTGGTAGTCTAGGAGTTCCTTGGCGAACGGAGATGTCACGCTTTGTGATAAACAATCTTGGTTTAGGATGGAGAAAGCGCCCTGGGGGTTGAACTGCTGAGCGGTGAGGTATGGTTGCACCAACATGTTGTTGTACGTTGAAATGTGGCCTAGAGTTGGGCCATAAAAGCTTTGCTGCTAGAATGAGAAGGTTAGTGATTGGGTTGCTAGGATTGGCGGGTTAGGTGCGAAACAAGTGGTTTGACGTGAAGGGCGGATGTTGTGGGATTGTTGTGTTAAAGGGTATGTTTGTCACAAACGGGGGTGTTTGGAAAACCGACGTTTGTTCTCTTGTTATCTGCTTTAACGGTGGTGCTTGTGGGAGAACCGACATGCCGCTGACGTTGTCCACCATTGGTGGTGTCGTGCTACTTGAGATCGTCGTTAGTTGTTGGTTTTGTATGGATTCGTTTTGTGTTAACACGGTGGCAGAGGACATCGATCCTTCAGCGATTGGCCTCCATGATTTGCTCATTGGAGCAGTAGTTATTGAGCCATCTTGTTATGGTGCTTCACTGGTAACTGGTGTGAAGATGGGAATGGTGATCAGTTCCAACGACATCATAGGTCTGATGGGGCTCGTTGGTGTCCCACCAGCTCCACCAGTGTCTCCGGTTGTCATCTTCAGGTGTTGAGAGGTGTGCTTTTGGTTTGTTGTTCGTCACACACCGGATGGCACCAAATGATGTGAGCTCGTCACCGGGCGTCGATCTACACTGCTTCTGGCTATTCCGGTGAACCAGCAAGGTCACAACAGGGTTGAACCATCAGCCATTCTCCGGGAGGGGGTCCCGAAAAAACACTCCAACGGTAAAGTCGATCAGTAGACAGACTTGGGTGGTTTCTGTGTAAACTGTTAGAGAGCGACTAACCTTTCTAGGTACCGGAGGAGGCCTTTTATACTGAGGCCTCCTGCTAATCCGTACGAGACAAGGGCGTCAGAATCGACAGGATTGGACACGATGATTGGGCAATCGTGCTCGTTATTCTGTCAGAGCTAACGATTAGTTCAGGTGGTAATGCACTGAGCACCCCCCCCCCCCGGCGTCGTCTGGAGCCGTTATGCTTTGTCGCGAAGTAGACGGCGCCCCTGGCGGGGCCGAGCCTTCTCCGTGGGCCCCCTACACTTAGGGAGCGTCCGCGGGCGCGAGGTTCCGTCGGGCTTGCTCTATTAGGCATGATTTGCCTTGGGGAGTTCTCTGGCGCGTCCGAGCGTGATCCCTGAATCGTGTTGAGGGCATGTCATTAGTGATGAACCATGGTGACTTTATTATGTCGAACCATGGCACTGAACCGATGGTGACTCGCTATGCCGAACCATGTTGATTAGCCATGATGACTTTATAGGTCGAACCATGACATTGGCCAATGGTGACACTAAATGAAAATGATATCGGACCATGGTGATGAACCATGGTGACTTTATTTTGTCGAACCATGACATTAAGCCGATGGTGACCTAACATAGTCTGACCATGATGTAAGAACCGTGGTGGCTTCGGTGTAAAAAGATGTATTTGGCTACCGAGAGTTGGATGACTTTGGTGATCAAACTGAAACCAAGAGTTACGAGCAATTGATTTTACCGTGCAATGTATCTTTTTAAAATATCACATTGAAACAATGTATCTTTTTAAACCAAGAGTTACCCTGCAATTGGATGACTTTGGTGTATTTGGATACCTATGTATTTTACCGTGCAATGTAACTTTTTAAAATATCACATTGAAACAATAATTTTTTTTGTCAAAACGAACAAAAGAGTTCGGTTTGCGACAAGTATGCGACGTTCATATGTTCGAACTTGAGGTGGGGGTGTCTAATTAATACTGTATGTTGAGAGCCATTTTCCTTATATTATAACTCACCCATAGTAAATGGTTTTCACCGAATAGTTGATGAACACTTAACAATAGTAACGACTATATCAAATTGGTATGAACGTTTGCTAATTTTATTTTTAGTAATAATGTAAGGTTAAACGTAAACTCCTTCATGTATACTTGTCGCGATTGCGCTTATTGAATTTTCGCATGCTTTTGTATATATATACTGTTCTTTATGTGACCTTCATACTTTAATACTACTTGAACTTTAAAGCAAAGCCTCTTATACCCCTTGATCAAGAGATCACTTTATTGTCGTTTCTCCCAAAAGTTGTTTATTTTAGAAAAAAAGAAATGTATTTTGACTACTAGCAGAAAGTAAAGGGGGGCTGATTGTAAACTAGGTCTTTCAAAAATCACAATATCGATTTTATATCTTCTGGAAGAGAGAAAAATATCAATCTAAATTCGGGTTTTAATCAGGGCGAAGAGATCTCCAAAAAAAAAAAAATAGGGTATTTCTAAAGCTAAAACCGAAACGGATCTGACGATGTCGGAGAGCCGAGACAGGAAAGCCAAAGTACTGAGGCCAGGTAGCCGAAGTACTGAGGCTGCGGAGTCGAAACGCCAAGGCCGAAGTGCTGAAGCGCTGAGGCAGGAGCTCGAACCGTCGACGGGATCGCCAGAGACGGACGTATAGGTCGAAGAGACTAGAGGTCGGAATGCCGATTTGGTCGTCTTGTCGGATAGTCGAATCACCGAATAGTTGAGCCAAAGACAGAGTTAAGGTTTGTTAATTGCTTTTTAGTTTCCAAATTGATGGTTGAATTTTAATGTCATCATTGGATTCTGGTAGCAGATTAGACTTTGGTACTTGGTTAAACCCAACATTGTTCAACATTCGGGGTTTTGGAGACCGAGTTTCTGGATCGCTCGTCCGGAGGTTGAGGTGCCGAACCACTAGGATCGAGTCCGACTTGCTACAGGACCGCCGTCAGCTTGTTTCTCACTTTTCAGGAATCAAATCCATGGGTCAGGTATATGTTTAAGCACTCCCTAAAAGCAGTGGCGGATCCTCCCCTGGCCCCCTGTTTTTTTTATCTGCTAATACTTGCTTAGTAATCTACAAATCTAAATTACCCATTAAATTATTCAAAAAAGAAAGGTTCCATACAAAATTGAACAGAAAAGATACTTAAATAAAATAACTTGAATTTTTTAGAATAGCTATTTGGGTTTTTTTTATGAGGAAGCAGTGGGTCGCATGCTATACCATGGGTCGTAGGTCAAACAACAACTATCGTCGGAAGGCCGAAGTGCCGAGGCGTGAGGATAGAAGTACCGAGGCCGAAGGGCTGAAGTGGCAAGGCCGGAGTTCGAGCTGCCGCCGAGGCGTGACGGACTCATAGGTCGAGGCAGAGATGATGAACCACCAAGATCTAGTTGCTAGGGCAAATCGATTTCCAGGAGCAAGGGTCGAGATCGTTGATTTGTATTTTGGGTCGCCGATGTGCCAGTTTGTAGAATAGCTGAATCGACGAAGAGCCAAGCCGAAGACTAGGGTAACACCGTAAGAGTTTTGTGTTTTAGGCTTTTAGCGTTAATTTAGATTAAGCAGAAATCCGTGGACGTCATAATTGAATTTTTTTTTTATTTTATTATTATTTTTTTTATTTTTTTTTAATTTTTAATATCGAAGATACAAGATGTGGTACCGTTAATTTATTTTGAGAATAATACTTTATTTTAAGAATAAAGTATCAATTGTTCGTAGGACTCTTTCTGCTGTATAGTACAATCAGATAAGACAAGGCTACCTTTTTTATTTCTAGGTAACGGTGTATCCTTGTACGAAATAGATTTATATATGTATATTTTGTTATGACAAAAATAATCAAATATGAAATTGGACAAACAGAAACATAATTAAATCGAATTTATCAAAGATTCACAAATCAGAAAACATATTTGAATGTTGATGTTTACAACAAAAAATAGAAACTCGAAATAGTAGATTGAGGCCTGCAACTGCAGTGTCATAAGACATAAATTTCCCTATTAGAGATCTGTTTAGAAGATACAATAATCTGATCATGATTGAATCTTGATCACGACGAAATTCTTCATGCTTCATTGATTGATTTACCAGAAAAACGAGAGTGAAAGAAAGTTATGTTATTGTATATCTGATCAACCAATCAGTTAATTAACAATTAACAGATTATGTAATTAAAAAATCAATTTCGGAATTTGTGTATATAAAAATTAATTAATTAGTCAAGAAAAACCCAAGAGTCCTAAGGCCCAAGGCCATCTTTTGAACATTAATTATATTTAATGACAAACCTAATCCAAGACTAATTTGATAGCCCAATACCATCATTTTAGCCCAAATGTCTTTTTGTCTTGCTTTATCCATTTAAGAATATGTGAAGACAAAGGCTTATAAAACTAATCAAGGTTCTTTCTTTTTCCAATGCCGGATAACGCTTTTAGGCTATAAGCAAAGTTCCAACATATTTTTGGTATCGTACTATTTTAATAGCTGTAAAATATAAAGATGTGGTTGATAGGACTTCGTTTCGTTTCATAGCCTTGTATTTGAATATTTCTAAGATACAAACTAAACTTATTTTGTACGACTCTCGATTCCATATGTACAACTCCTCCATGCGTTTAGGCCATCGAGTATGTTCACATTGTAGTCACGGGTGAAAATGATTCAATTTCATCATCATGTAATATATAATAAGAAAAAAAATGCAATTTCATTAGATATAAAGTTCAACTTCTATAACAAAGTTACGTTTTAAAGTTCATCTCTCCGCTCTTTCATTTTACGAAAGCGATTAATTATATTTTTAGTCTTAACATTCTATAGTACTTTATTTTCTACACTACAAATCAAAGCACCATTCATAAAATCATCACCTATTCTATTACGCAAATCGGTCTTCAAAAACTTCATTGTTGAAAAACACCGTTCAACGGTTGCGGTTGCGGTTGCGACGGGCAAAACCAAAGTTAGTTTTAATAATCTATAAACCAAAGGAAAAGAGAGGTGCTTCCCAGTTTCCACAAACAAACGAGAGAGGTCTGCAATTCCCTTCAAATTGAAAAATCTCTCATCATGGAGCAAATAGTGATAATAGATATCAAGTTGCCCATTAAGTTGCGCCCTTTCTGAATCGTTAAAATCCTTTTTGTATATCTCGCTTAACTTTAACAACTTTGCTTTATCAAAACTAGAAAATGAGTCACAAGGACTCAAAGCCGCCATGTTCTCCATCAACTCCGTGCCAACTTCACTAAATCTATCCCCAAATTCTTGAATTTGCATATCCAAAACCGTATTAAAAATCACAACTTCAAAATGATGTCGATTAGTCTTATTGGTCCTACGCTTTCGTGGGGTAACATAATATTCTGACATGTCCACAATTCCAATACTATGTTTTTCACAAAAAGCACACACCTTCTTCCAAATTTGTGGAAACCCATCTTTTTTCTAAAAACTAGCAATGCGTTTTTGTCCATTTTACTAATGAAGCCGCTTCCAAAATATTTTGATCTTTTTTTTTAAGATTCTTTGAATAAGTATCGGCGAGGCATAGAATTTCCAACATCAAGTGTGAAAAGAAATACGAAATCAAGTGTTTTGAAATATGACAAAATACCCTTTGGTTGATTACCGTTAGATAAAGTAGACCCCTCTTCTTTGACATATTTTAGGACTGCAACAAATTCTGCAAACAAATTAAACAAACTTACAATTGTTCTAAAATGTGAACCTCATCTAGTATCTCCAG